CACTTTTATGTTTGTTCCTTTTTACAGACCATACTCATATGCTCCATGAGCTCAGCATGTAACATGTGTTTCACATGTACTTATGCATCTCAGCCTGTTATGGACCATGTTCTGTCTTTGGAGCCATATTAAAGCTGCCGAACATTATCTCCAGTCTCCTGATTCTCTAACCGGAATCTCCCATCCATGGTGCCACTTCAATCAGCCTTCCTTAACTTAAAATGTAGAAGGGTTTTCTACATTAAAATTGGTCCTTCGAGCCGGATTGAAGTAACAATATAACACCATGGATGATGCAGCGTCAGAAGCAGGACAGTCCAAAGGCAGACCCCATAGAGAAAGCCGTCTCCCGTCTCACCTAAAGGACTATGTAGTTGCTTACCATGCCCCTCATGCTCATCCTGCAACACCTTCTCACACTGTAAGAAGCAAGCACAGGAGCAGCACAAGGAAAACAATTAGCACCATAACCAGCTCTACCTCTCGGTCTGGAAGACACAGCAGCTTCTCCACCGGGTTTTACCCACAGCACGATCTCTCACCTGCTCAAGCTTCATTTCTGGAGGAAAACATTAAGCGGCGCCAGCTTGATTGCCTCCGTCAGGAAATTGAAGAGGATTTACAGGCCGATGTAGAAGACCAACAGATACAGGCTAGGATGAGAGCAGCACAGCACGCCCAAGAGGAGGCCCTCCGAGCAAAAGAGGCTTTAATTAAAAGGCTAGACAGGAACCGACGCCTGAAGCAGGCAGAGTCTGACCTAGAGCTGGCGAGATTGGTTACGTCCATGGTTGTATCCGACGAAAACATAGTTCCCTCTGAACCTGCTTCTCCACAAGCGAGTTTCCATCAACCATCAGCTCAGCTAGTTGCAACCAACTCCGCTGACCAGCCACCGCATCCAGGGGAGTCTGTTTCACCACCTTCAGGAGCACATATGGTCAGACGCCCCAGCACTCAGCCTGCTAGCATTCCCCTCATGTTTCAGAACCCTGACCAGCCTCTGCCGTCTCGTGCTTGTGCGTCAGCAGCTAGTCCTGTCACTCAGACTATGAATCAAGATCAGAAGTCTAACCTCATGCCATCACATCCAGTCCTCAACTCAGTGACCAGAGGGCTACAGTCAGAACCACGGCTCACTCACTTCACACATTCACTGCCTTCACTAACTACACAGTCAGACCCTAGGACGGCAACGGCCATTCCCAGTAACAGCCAGACAATCCCAGCAGCAGTTCCCCTCCCTGGTTTAGCACCACAATCCGGAACTGACCTGCTCATTGCATCTGCTTATGGGATTCCAAGGCCCACACTGCCAGTGTTTGACAGTGGTCGTGAGAGTGATTTTGCCCTACTCAAAATGGCACTAGACAATTTGCTGAATAACCACATCCATCTAAGTGAGCAATATAAATTTCAGGTGCTGATTGGTCAATTAAAACTTCCTAGTGCTCTCCAGCTAGCAAAGGCTTACATGCATCACTCACATCCGTACACTGCAGCTCTGCAGGAGAAATACGGTCAGCCCAGACAGCTAGTCCAATCAGAGCTAGGTGCAATCCTCAATACCCCATCACTTAAGATGGGTGAAGCTCAGGCCTTCGACTCATTCGCTCTCTCAGTTCAGTCTTTAGTTGGCATGCTACAAACTCTTGAGGGACAAAATGGCTACAAACTTATGTGTGGGTCCCACGTTGACCGGCTGCTAAGCAAAATGCCAGCCTCCTACAGAGACAGCTTTGTGGAGTATTGTCTCAGCCGGGGCATACTACAATCGGGTACAGACAGAACCTATACGCTCCCTGACTTGGCCGTCTGGTTACAGGTTAAGTCGCAGGCGAAACGTATTTCTAGTCGTGCTGCTGCCCTATTCCAGACTGAGCCGCCAAAACCGACCCGGAGGGAGCATAAACCCCTTTACTCAAAGGAAAGGTCAGTACCTGTTCTCCACACAGTAAAAAGCTAAATGTCGAAGGCTGAGTCCTGGTTCTCAAAGCAAAACCCAAAACCGAAGCCATATTGCCCCTATTGTGATAACAAAGAACATTTTCTAAACTCTTGTGAAAGCTTCAAAAGGCTTAGCACCCATCAGATCATCACTTGGATAAAAGAGGGAGGCCGATGCCAGAAATGTGGTCGCAACCACAGAGTGGAGGACTGCAACCTTAAACGTCCATGCAAAGCCTGCAGGGAGCTTCACCTTACAGTTCTTCACGATGCAATAAGTGACTCATCCAGTACAGTCCTGATGGTGAGCTCAGCACCCACTAAGGTTTACATCGACCGCCCTAACCGCTCACAGCGGGTTATGCTAAAGGTGGTGAAGATTCTGATTCATAATGGGAACCGATCTATGGAGGCTTATGCAGTCCTAGACGATGGATCAGAAAGAACAATTGTTCTCTCACCTGTCATTAAACACCTTAAGATTGCAGGGCAACATGAGACACTGCCATTGCAGACAGTTCATCAGGATGTCCATCAGCTGGAGGGACTGACCGTCTCATTTGAAGTGTCCCCTTTCTCCAAGCCTTCTGAAAGATATCCAATCTCTGATGCTTTCTCTGCAGGTAGGCTGAGTCTGGCTGAGCACAACTACCCAGTAGCAGCCCTTCAGAAAATGTATAAACATCTGAAGGGTTTACCATTGCAGCTGGTCGAAGGAGTGCAACCATTACTCCTCATTGGATCTGATATGCCACACTTAATTACTCCTATCCAGCCTATCCGTCAGGGACCTAAAGGAGGACCAGTTGCTGTGTGTACCAGACTTGGGTGGTCACTACAAGGCCCAATAACACCCATGCAGACTGCACGTGGAGGACAGCAGTGTCTACATCTCACCTCAGCTACGTCCCAGGCAGAGCTCCTCCAGAATGTGCAACGGCTATGGCAGGTTGACACTTTGCCATACTGCCAAAAGACAGTAACTAGATCAAAGCTAGACCAGAAGGCCATCACCTTATTGCAGACAGCTACAAGGAGGGTTGAGATAGATGGAGTCCAGCGCTATGCAACCCCACTGCTCCGTCGTTCTTCAAACATAACCCTTCAGGCACCTAAGGAAGCGGTGCTGCCCAGCCTTCGAAGGATAGAGCGCAGATTGGCTCGCAACCCTAAACTGGCAGAGACATACTGCTCTGAAATGCGCAAGCTACAGTCAGAAGGTTATGTAGCAAAGATCTCATCTGAAGAAGCCAGTCAATCCACAGAAGCCTGGTACATCCCACACCATATGGTGCACCATAATGGTAAGGACAGAATTGTCTTTAACTGCTCTTTCCAGTATCAGGGTCTGTCCCTTAATGAGCAGCTATTACCAGGCCCAACACTTGGCCCTTCTTTGATAGGCGTTCTCCTGTGATTCCGTCAGCACGCTGTTGCCATCAGTGGTGACATCCGAAGCATGTTTCACCAGGTGCGCCTGCTTCCAGGTGATCGACCAGTTCTTTGTTTTATCTGGAGAAACATGCAAAGAGAGCAGGAGCCTACCATATATGAATGGCAGGTTCTACCCTTTGGAACAACATGCAGTCCAAGTTGTGCAATCTATGCTCTCCAGCACCATGCCCAAGAACATGCAGAAGATAATCCTGACTTGGCAGCAATTGTGTCACAGGCATTTTATGTAGATAATTGTCTCTACAGCACACCAGATCCCGCAAAGGCTAAGGACGTGATTGACAGCTTGAGACAATTGCTTGCAGAAGGAGGGTTCGATATCAGACAATGGGCAAGCAATTTACCATCAGTCATAGAACACCTCCCAAAGGGTGCCAGGTCTACCTGCAGTGAGCTTTGGTTGTCACGAAACAGTACTGACCTCCAGGAACCCACTCTTGGCATGCAGTGGAACTGCCTTACTGACATGCTGGGTTACAAGCACCGCACTACTGATAATCAGATTCCAACCTTGAGGAACCTTTATAGGATCCTGGCCAGCCAGTATGACCCACTAGGTTTCATTGTGCCGTTTACGACCAGAGCTAAAGTCCTTATACAGGATCTATGGAAACAACATGTGGCATGGGACGAGCCTATCGGCCCTCAGCATATACGAGATCAGTGGGCCGTGTGGGAGGCAGAGCTCCCCATCCTTCAGCAGGTGCAGTTTCCCAGACCCTTTGTGCCAGCCAGCGCGGACAGCACTGTAGCGACCAGGGAGCTTCACGTATTCTGTGATGCTTCAGAGAGAGCATATGGGTCAGTCGCCTATCGGCGGACCATAACCCATGGTGGGGACGTCCATGTGGCTTTCATCCTAGCCAGGTCCCGTGTAGCACCAAAGAAATGCCTCTCTATGCCTCGTCTAGAACTGAGTGCTGCATTAACTGGAGCTCAGCTGGTCAAACTGATACAGGACGAACTGACCCTCACAGTTGGTGAAGTTGTTTGCTGGTCAGATTCTACCACGGTGCTGTATTGGCTGAACTCAGAGTCCTGCCGCTGCAAGGTCTTTGTTGGGACACGTGTGGCTGAAATTCAGAATCTCACTGATGCTTCAGACTATGTGGTTGCTGAAAGAGCTCTCTTAGCTCAGGCTCAGCTTGACTCTTTCCCACGAGAGGTAAAGGCACTTAAAAATAATCACTCCATTCCATCTGACAGTCGCCTATGTTCCCTGGCACCTGAGTATGAAGAGGCCACAGGACTCCTTAGAGTTGGAGGGCGTCTTCGGCGAGCTGTGGATTTGGAGGAGGGGACAATTCATCCCATCGTTCTTGATCCCGAGCACCATATAACTAAGCTGCTGATAAAGGACTGTGACGAGAGGCTTCATCACCCTGGTGCAGAGCGAGTTCTGGCTGAACTTCGCAGGCATTATTGGATTCTTCGGGGTCGCGAAGCTATCCGTAAACACCAGCACAAATGTCCTGAGTGTCAGCTTTGGCGAGCCAAGCCACAAGCTCCACAGATGGCTGACCTTCCTCCTTCGAGACTGCGTGTCCACAAGCCCCTGTTTTACTCCACTGGAGTAGACTGCTTTGGTCTATTTTCAGTCAAGGTCAGACGGAGTCAAGAGAAGAGATGGGGCATCCTTTATAAGTGCATGACCACCAGATGTGTGCATTTGGATCTCCTCGAAAGCCTGGACACAGATTCCTTCCTGCTCTCCCTGCGCCGCCTAATAGCACGCAGGGGTAAACCATTCGAGCTTCTCTGTGATAATGGAACCAACTTTACAGGAGGAAATCGAGAATTAGTAGAGGCCTTTGAAGCTATGGCTCCTTGCCTGCAGGAGCAATTAGCAGAGCAGAGGATCAGATTCCAGTTTAACCCACCTTCCGCTCCACATTTTGGAGGCACCTGGGAAAGGGAAGTCAAGTCGGTGAAAACAGCTCTGAGAGTAGTCCTACGAGAGCAGTCAGTCGCTGAGCCAGTTCTGCGGACTCTACTGATCGAGGTGGAAGGAATTCTTAATTCCAAGCCATTGGGCTATGTGTCAACAGATGTCTCGGATCCTGATCCTATAACACCCAACATGCTACTTATGGGACGCAGGGATTCATCTCTTCCCCAGGCTTTATATGGCGGAGAGGATTTGCTTGGGAAGCGACGATGGAGACACAGCCAGGTGTTGGCAGACAACTTCTGGGCTTCCTTCATCAGACACTACCTCCCGGGACTGCAGCAACGTCAGAAGTGGAAGAGCGATAGCAAGGAACCTACTACGGGTCAGGTTGTTCTTGTTGTTGATCCACGGCTCCCGCGGGCTCTTTGGCCTGTGGGTTCGGTGGTTGAGACCTTCAAGGGTGCAGATGGACGTGTACGTATTGCCACAGTGAAGGTAAAGGACAAAATCTACACGAGGCCTGTCGTTAGACTAGTCCAGCTTCCCCAGTTTACTAATGACTCTTAGTTCATATAGCAGTCTTTCTATGTTCGATACAATTCTCAGGTTAGAGAATTGGGGGCGGCTGTGTTAGAAAGACTGAGGGAGAACCTAATTTAGTTTCTTGTTTCCGCCCGGACCGCTATTAGTGTGACGCGCGCCGAATCTTTATTTCTTCATGGTGGATATTTGTGTGCGTAATAAATAAAGTAAGTGCCTTTTAGATATTACTTTACTCTTTACATGTTCTGCTTTAATCTAATTGTAGTGTGAATCAGTAATTTGCACCGTATTTCTGTGTTTCCTGCTGTTCTGGTAAGCTACTGTGATTGCTAGCGCTGGTTAGCATTTGTTGCTAATAGTAGTTCAGTTAATGCTGCTGCTGCCTAGAGTTGCTGTATTTGAAGTTGCACGGCTTGTGTTATTGCTACTGATCCAGCAGTGTTTGTATGAGGCTTGCTGGGATTTTGGTTAATTGTTTGTTTATTTCTGTAGCTGTTTGCTGAAATGTTTAGTGAAATCCTAATTTGGCTCATAAGCACTTTTATGTTTGTTCCTTTTTACAGACCATACTCATATGCTCCATGAGCTCAGCATGTAACATGTGTTTCACATGTACTTATGCATCTCAGCCTGTTATGGACCATGTTCTGTCTTTGGAGCCATATTAAAGCTGCCGAACATTATCTCCAGTCTCCTGATTCTCTAACCGGAATCTCCCATCCATGGTGCCACTTCAATCAGCCTTCCTTAACTTAAAATGTAGAAGGGTTTTCTACATTAAAATTGGTCCTTCGAGCCGGATTGAAGTAACAATATAACACCATGGATGATGCAGCGTCAGAAGCAGGACAGTCCAAAGGCAGACCCCATAGAGAAAGCCGTCTCCCGTCTCACCTAAAGGACTATGTAGTTGCTTACCATGCCCCTCATGCTCATCCTGCAACACCTTCTCACACTGTAAGAAGCAAGCACAGGAGCAGCACAAGGAAAACAATTAGCACCATAACCAGCTCTACCTCTCGGTCTGGAAGACACAGCAGCTTCTCCACCGGGTTTTACCCACAGCACGATCTCTCACCTGCTCAAGCTTCATTTCTGGAGGAAAACATTAAGCGGCGCCAGCTTGATTGCCTCCGTCAGGAAATTGAAGAGGATTTACAGGCCGATGTAGAAGACCAACAGATACAGGCTAGGATGAGAGCAGCACAGCACGCCCAAGAGGAGGCCCTCCGAGCAAAAGAGGCTTTAATTAAAAGGCTAGACAGGAACCGACGCCTGAAGCAGGCAGAGTCTGACCTAGAGCTGGCGAGATTGGTTACGTCCATGGTTGTATCCGACGAAAACATAGTTCCCTCTGAACCTGCTTCTCCACAAGCGAGTTTCCATCAACCATCAGCTCAGCTAGTTGCAACCAACTCCGCTGACCAGCCACCGCATCCAGGGGAGTCTGTTTCACCACCTTCAGGAGCACATATGGTCAGACGCCCCAGCACTCAGCCTGCTAGCATTCCCCTCATGTTTCAGAACCCTGACCAGCCTCTGCCGTCTCGTGCTTGTGCGTCAGCAGCTAGTCCTGTCACTCAGACTATGAATCAAGATCAGAAGTCTAACCTCATGCCATCACATCCAGTCCTCAACTCAGTGACCAGAGGGCTACAGTCAGAACCACGGCTCACTCACTTCACACATTCACTGCCTTCACTAACTACACAGTCAGACCCTAGGACGGCAACGGCCATTCCCAGTAACAGCCAGACAATCCCAGCAGCAGTTCCCCTCCCTGGTTTAGCACCACAATCCGGAACTGACCTGCTCATTGCATCTGCTTATGGGATTCCAAGGCCCACACTGCCAGTGTTTGACAGTGGTCGTGAGAGTGATTTTGCCCTACTCAAAATGGCACTAGACAATTTGCTGAATAACCACATCCATCTAAGTGAGCAATATAAATTTCAGGTGCTGATTGGTCAATTAAAACTTCCTAGTGCTCTCCAGCTAGCAAAGGCTTACATGCATCACTCACATCCGTACACTGCAGCTCTGCAGGAGAAATACGGTCAGCCCAGACAGCTAGTCCAATCAGAGCTAGGTGCAATCCTCAATACCCCATCACTTAAGATGGGTGAAGCTCAGGCCTTCGACTCATTCGCTCTCTCAGTTCAGTCTTTAGTTGGCATGCTACAAACTCTTGAGGGACAAAATGGCTACAAACTTATGTGTGGGTCCCACGTTGACCGGCTGCTAAGCAAAATGCCAGCCTCCTACAGAGACAGCTTTGTGGAGTATTGTCTCAGCCGGGGCATACTACAATCGGGTACAGACAGAACCTATACGCTCCCTGACTTGGCCGTCTGGTTACAGGTTAAGTCGCAGGCGAAACGTATTTCTAGTCGTGCTGCTGCCCTATTCCAGACTGAGCCGCCAAAACCGACCCGGAGGGAGCATAAACCCCTTTACTCAAAGGAAAGGTCAGTACCTGTTCTCCACACAGTAAAAAGCTAAATGTCGAAGGCTGAGTCCTGGTTCTCAAAGCAAAACCCAAAACCGAAGCCATATTGCCCCTATTGTGATAACAAAGAACATTTTCTAAACTCTTGTGAAAGCTTCAAAAGGCTTAGCACCCATCAGATCATCACTTGGATAAAAGAGGGAGGCCGATGCCAGAAATGTGGTCGCAACCACAGAGTGGAGGACTGCAACCTTAAACGTCCATGCAAAGCCTGCAGGGAGCTTCACCTTACAGTTCTTCACGATGCAATAAGTGACTCATCCAGTACAGTCCTGATGGTGAGCTCAGCACCCACTAAGGTTTACATCGACCGCCCTAACCGCTCACAGCGGGTTATGCTAAAGGTGGTGAAGATTCTGATTCATAATGGGAACCGATCTATGGAGGCTTATGCAGTCCTAGACGATGGATCAGAAAGAACAATTGTTCTCTCACCTGTCATTAAACACCTTAAGATTGCAGGGCAACATGAGACACTGCCATTGCAGACAGTTCATCAGGATGTCCATCAGCTGGAGGGACTGACCGTCTCATTTGAAGTGTCCCCTTTCTCCAAGCCTTCTGAAAGATATCCAATCTCTGATGCTTTCTCTGCAGGTAGGCTGAGTCTGGCTGAGCACAACTACCCAGTAGCAGCCCTTCAGAAAATGTATAAACATCTGAAGGGTTTACCATTGCAGCTGGTCGAAGGAGTGCAACCATTACTCCTCATTGGATCTGATATGCCACACTTAATTACTCCTATCCAGCCTATCCGTCAGGGACCTAAAGGAGGACCAGTTGCTGTGTGTACCAGACTTGGGTGGTCACTACAAGGCCCAATCACACCCATGCAGACTGCACGTGGAGGACAGCAGTGTCTACATCTCACCTCAGCTACGTCCCAGGCAGAGCTCCTCCAGAATGTGCAACGGCTATGGCAGGTTGACACTTTGCCATACTGCCAAAAGACAGTAACTAGATCAAAGCTAGACCAGAAGGCCATCACCTTATTGCAGACAGCTACAAGGAGGGTTGAGATAGATGGAGTCCAGCGCTATGCAACCCCACTGCTCCGTCGTTCTTCAAACATAACCCTTCAGGCACCTAAGGAAGCGGTGCTGCCCAGCCTTCGAAGGATAGAGCGCAGATTGGCTCGCAACCCTAAACTGGCAGAGACATACTGCTCTGAAATGCGCAAGCTACAGTCAGAAGGTTATGTAGCAAAGATCTAATCTGAAGAAGCCAGTCAATCCACAGAAGCCTGGTACATCCCACACCATATGGTGCACCATAATGGTAAGGACAGAATTGTCTTTAACTGCTCTTTCCAGTATCAGGGTCTGTCCCTTAATGAGCAGCTATTACCAGGCCCAACACTTGGCCCTTCTTTGATAGGCGTTCTCCTGTGATTCCGTCAGCACGCTGTTGCCATCAGTGGTGACATCCGAAGCATGTTTCACCAGGTGCGCCTGCTTCCAGGTGATCGACCAGTTCTTTGTTTTATCTGGAGAAACATGCAAAGAGAGCAGGAGCCTACCATATATGAATGGCAGGTTCTACCCTTTGGAACAACATGCAGTCCAAGTTGTGCAATCTATGCTCTCCAGCACCATGCCCAAGAACATGCAGAAGATAATCCTGACTTGGCAGCAATTGTGTCACAGGCATTTTATGTAGATAATTGTCTCTACAGCACACCAGATCCCGCAAAGGCTAAGGACGTGATTGACAGCTTGAGACAATTGCTTGCAGAAGGAGGGTTCGATATCAGACAATGGGCAAGCAATTTACCATCAGTCATAGAACACCTCCCAAAGGGTGCCAGGTCTACCTGCAGTGAGCTTTGGTTGTCACGAAACAGTACTGACCTCCAGGAACCCACTCTTGGCATGCAGTGGAACTGCCTTACTGACATGCTGGGTTACAAGCACCGCACTACTGATAATCAGATTCCAACCTTGAGGAACCTTTATAGGATCCTGGCCAGCCAGTATGACCCACTAGGTTTCATTGTGCCGTTTACGACCAGAGCTAAAGTCCTTATACAGGATCTATGGAAACAACATGTGGCATGGGACGAGCCTATCGGCCCTCAGCATATACGAGATCAGTGGGCCGTGTGGGAGGCAGAGCTCCCCATCCTTCAGCAGGTGCAGTTTCCCAGACCCTTTGTGCCAGCCAGCGCGGACAGCACTGTAGCGACCAGGGAGCTTCACGTATTCTGTGATGCTTCAGAGAGAGCATATGGGTCAGTCGCCTATCTGCGGACCATAACCCATGGTGGGGACGTCCATGTGGCTTTCATCCTAGCCAGGTCCCGTGTAGCACCAAAGAAATGCCTCTCTATGCCTCGTCTAGAACTGAGTGCTGCATTAACTGGAGCTCAGCTGGTCAAACTGATACAGGACGAACTGACCCTCACAGTTGGTGAAGTTGTTTGCTGGTCAGATTCTACCACGGTGCTGTATTGGCTGAACTCAGAGTCCTGCCGCTGCAAGGTCTTTGTTGGGACACGTGTGGCTGAAATTCAGAATCTCACTGATGCTTCAGACTATGTGGTTGCTGAAAGAGCTCTCTTAGCTCAGGCTCAGCTTGACTCTTTCCCACGAGAGGTAAAGGCACTTAAAAATAATCACTCCATTCCATCTGACAGTCGCCTATGTTCCCTGGCACCTGAGTATGAAGAGGCCACAGGACTCCTTAGAGTTGGAGGGCGTCTTCGGCGAGCTGTGGATTTGGAGGAGGGGACAATTCATCCCATCGTTCTTGATCCCGAGCACCATATAACTAAGCTGCTGATAAAGGACTGTGACGAGAGGCTTCATCACCCTGGTGCAGAGCGAGTTCTGGCTGAACTTCGCAGGCATTATTGGATTCTTCGGGGTCGCGAAGCTATCCGTAAACACCAGCACAAATGTCCTGAGTGTCAGCTTTGGCGAGCCAAGCCACAAGCTCCACAGATGGCTGACCTTCCTCCTTCGAGACTGCGTGTCCACAAGCCCCTGTTTTACTCCACTGGAGTAGACTGCTTTGGTCTATTTTCAGTCAAGGTCAGACGGAGTCAAGAGAAGAGATGGGGCATCCTTTATAAGTGCATGACCACCAGATGTGTGCATTTGGATCTCCTCGAAAGCCTGGACACAGATTCCTTCCTGCTCTCCCTGCGCCGCCTAATAGCACGCAGGGGTAAACCATTCGAGCTTCTCTGTGATAATGGAACCAACTTTACAGGAGGAAATCGAGAATTAGTAGAGGCCTTTGAAGCTATGGCTCCTTGCCTGCAGGAGCAATTAGCAGAGCAGAGGATCAGATTCCAGTTTAACCCACCTTCCGCTCCACATTTTGGAGGCACCTGGGAAAGGGAAGTCAAGTCGGTGAAAACAGCTCTGAGAGTAGTCCTACGAGAGCAGTCAGTCGCTGAGCCAGTTCTGCGGACTCTACTGATCGAGGTGGAAGGAATTCTTAATTCCAAGCCATTGGGCTATGTGTCAACAGATGTCTCGGATCCTGATCCTATAACACCCAACATGCTACTTATGGGACGCAGGGATTCATCTCTTCCCCAGGCTTTATATGGCGGAGAGGATTTGCTTGGGAAGCGACGATGGAGACACAGCCAGGTGTTGGCAGACAACTTCTGGGCTTCCTTCATCAGACACTACCTCCCGGGACTGCAGCAACGTCAGAAGTGGAAGAGCGATAGCAAGGAACCTACTACGGGTCAGGTTGTTCTTGTTGTTGATCCACGGCTCCCGCGGGCTCTTTGGCCTGTGGGTTCGGTGGTTGAGACCTTCAAGGGTGCAGATGGACGTGTACGTATTGCCACAGTGAAGGTAAAGGACAAAATCTACACGAGGCCTGTCGTTAGACTGGTCCAGCTTCCCCAGTTTACTAATGACTCTTAGTTCATATAGCAGTCTTTCTATGTTCGATACAATTCTCAGGTTAGAGAATTGGGGGCGGCTGTGTTAGAAAGACTGAGGGAGAACCTAATTTAGTTTCTTGTTTCCGCCCGGACCGCTATTAGTGTGACGCGCGCCGAATCTTTATTTCTTCATGGTGGATATTTGTGTGCGTAATAAATAAAGTAAGTGCCTTTTAGATATTACTTTACTCTTTACATGTTCTGCTTTAATCTAATTGTAGTGTGAATCAGTAATTTGCACCGTATTTCTGTGTTTCCTGCTGTTCTGGTAAGCTACTGTGATTGCTAGCGCTGGTTAGCATTTGTTGCTAATAGTAGTTCAGTTAATGCTGCTGCTGCCTAGAGTTGCTGTATTTGAAGTTGCACGGCTTGTGTTATTGCTACTGATCCAGCAGTGTTTGTATGAGGCTTGCTGGGATTTTGGTTAATTGTTTGTTTATTTCTGTAGCTGTTTGCTGAAATGTTTAGTGAAATCCTAATTTGGCTCATAAGCACTTTTATGTTTGTTCCTTTTTACAGACCATACTCATATGCTCCATGAGCTCAGCATGTAACATGTGTTTCACATGTACTTATGCATCTCAGCCTGTTATGGACCATGTTCTGTCTTTGGAGCCATATTAAAGCTGCCGAACATTATCTCCAGTCTCCTGATTCTCTAACCGGAATCTCCCATCCATGGTGCCACTTCAATCAGCCTTCCTTAACTTAAAATGTAGAAGGGTTTTCTACAGAGTCTTTTATGACTCGTTCTAAATCCTCACTTCTAGATAATCCAAATATTAGATTTCTAAATACACAAATGTGTCCAAATATTCCTCCAGAGCTTATGTCCTTGCATGGTTTAGAAGCTGCTGTTCTTAAGCTTGTTGCATATTTCACATAAACTGAAACATTTGTTCTTGTTTTTCAGGTGGCAAGAATTAGAACAAAAATGGTTTTGTCTCAAGAGTTTTCCTATTTGTAAGAAGCTTCCAAACTCATAACAAGTCGCTCTTCACACCTGTAAACAGAAAAGGACTGCAAGACAATGGCAGAGGGGTTATTTTTCAGACTGATAAGGGAGGAGAGGGAAAGCAAAATGCGTTATATTACTCAAAAGATGTAATATAAAAATATTAATATATCACTGTGTGGATTTCCACACCTGAAAATAACGTCAGAAAAAGCAAAACAATCACCTCTGCTTTTCTTTTTACAACGCTTTTATCAACACCCAAAAAACGGAAACACATCAGCAACACAATGGCATTAACCTGACTCCGCCAGATGGATATTCTCCGTATATCCATCTGGAAACCTTCCGTAGAATAATTTTGGGACGGGGCGAAAATACTGGTTAGCTCATTGGCCTATGTTGGTGATAGACGGGCCAAATAAACCAATCAGATCAACGAAGCATATGACGTACTAACAGAGCGACGACAAAGAGGAGCCAATTGGTAGATCAAACTCTTGCCGAAACCAGTCGGGAGAAGAGCAAAAACATCTTTTCCTCTGAGAAAAGCCTCCAGAGCAGTGTTTTGCTCTTCTTTCAGTGAAGAAATACTCTGTAATTCCGATAAAACTTGCTTGATAGCCACGCTAACGCTAGTTTCATCGGCTGAAGCCGCCATGTTCTTTAGACTGAACTGTCGCGCTCCTCGTCGCGACACACCTCAACCCGCCTCAAAGCCAACGCTGATTGGACGTTCGTTTGGTGAACGGCTCCAAATTTTCTTCAACGGAGAGTCTCCAGACTGATCTGCGAGTGAAACCTTGAAAGCTCGCGAGATCAGGATGGTCTCACGAGGCTACAATGGCATAGGGGTTAATTTTTTGGACTGATAAGGTGGAGGGGGCAGACTCGTATATATGCTTTATATTAATTAAAAGATGTATTATAATGTGTGATTCAAAATGCTCAAATCCCTCTTCTAGAGGTCTCACTGTGAACCATCATTTAAAGAGGTTTGTTAAACCAGAGCAAGATCTGAATCATGCCCAATACTGGCCATTGAAGAGCGGCTTGGGAAAACCTTCTCTAAAAAACAGTTGGTTCTGGTGATTTGATCTTATCCATGATTTATTACATGTGTAGCGTTTGTGCTTTCTCATCTGACTTTTAGGCTCTTTGCCCCAATACATTAGATTAGGAACACCTCACCTTCAAAGGACTTATATCATGAAAATCCAATTAAGCTTTCAAATAAGTTATAATGTTATACCTTTAGCAAAACAAATGCAAAAAGTCGTGTTTTGTTTGATTCCTGCATGTCTGATTAATCCTCATTAAACCTGCTCTCAGCAAACCCAACTTATACTTTTCTTATACAGTAAAAATGAATGCCCATGGCCATTCTACATGGGACAGTTTTAACCCGCCCCATCCACGAACTGAAGGACCACGCCCCGCCTGCCCAGTAAACGAACGCCTACTTTCTCCGGTCAATGAGGGATAACATGAGGAAGAGTTTTATGGTTCTGGTTAACAGTTCAAACAAAGAGGCTCTCTTAGCAGACGATCTGTAAAGTTACAAAAACTGCTTGTTTTTAGCATCTATAGCATAGAAATTAATCTTTTGGGACGTCTCAGACTTATGCAACCTTCCTAAAGAGGAGCCAAATAGCCAGAATGTGCGAGATACTGCAAAGAAACCAAAGATGGAAAGGCAGCATCTCATTGAAGGCAAGTGTCTTACATTGACGTTGGAAGAAAACTGCTAATATTCAGAACAAAGAATACGCTTTAGTATATATCCCTATAGTGGACTCTGAATGGCTAAATAAAGAATAATTATTATAGGACCTTTAATGTCTACCTGGTGACATTTCATAACCTCTTTTAAAATGTAATTTAAAGCATTTTTTTTATGTACTTAGTCTACTTAAAAGGATATTTATTGCACTTCGTAAACGGATGATATTTGTCTAGGGAAAGCTGCCCCAAAAAGAAATAAGGACTAGTCAGTGGAGCTAAGCTGTGAAACAAAATGTCCAGCATGTAAAGGTAATGATTATTTAATCTCCACGATTCATCCGAAAATCCACACTAATACGGGTCTGGGTGTACCACAAAATCTTTCAAATATTGTTGGGTTTGCTGTGGAAAAATTTGAAGCCAATTAAATTTATAAATGAATTCTATACATGCAAGCTAAGGTAGTACGGTACTTGTACTGTACTTAAGAGGGAATTTATTTTCTTGTGAATTCAATAGCATACGAATTCTTTTTGGGGGGTTTATGTAGACTGGTTCTTCATTTGTCAACACAAATACCTAGTTTCTCACTCCTGGGTTTGTTGTCATTTACCATTTTTTCACTGTTTATTCCCATGGAAACGTTACTGCGCTCCTCACTAGGGTGATATAAGTATTACATGCCTATTATACCAGGCTTAATTTTTATGCCTACGTGTTTTTGAGTAGACATCATCTTTTGCAGCAGAACGCTATAGTATGAATTTAACAATAATAATAATAATAATACATTTGATTTATACTGCACCTTTCATCAAAAATACCTCAAAGTACTACAAAAAAGAAAAGAATTGAAAAAAGAAATACATAATAATTATAATAATAATAATAAAAGCTGTTTTAAAAAGAGAGAAAAAATGATTAAATGCATTGGTATGAAATAGTTTATAAGATATTCCAAGGAAGATAAGAAGATTGCAATGAGACAGCAGTTGGTACAAAAGGAATTAGTCCTTCACTCATCCATTCATTACAACAGATGTTACTGAAAATATAGCATACTAATGTTTAGCCTTAATACCAGGAAACCTATACAACATGATGAACTGGTGATGAAAAAAAGAATATTACACAAACCTTACTTGTAAATTATTTGAGCTTTAATGTCTTTTCTAAAGTAAATTTTGAAATGACTAAAGAAAAAAGCCCATAAAAGCCATAATCTACGTTTAACTACTCAAAAAGCCTAATTTGCGCAATAGTACGGAAGCCCGAGTTGGCCATATCTTCTGGGTCAAGCTGTGCTGCTGTCACAGCTGGTCTGAAACTCTCTCTGAGATACAATGAAAGCAGACAATAAAATACATTTGCCTTTCCACAGCATTTTTTACCAAGGACAACAGCTGAATAGACGTTGCAAACGGATGCGAAGGCGGATTTGTAGAATAAATCTCGGTTGGCACATGTAGCAACCAGCCTAGATGTGTTTGCTTAATATGCTGTGACGGGACATATAGAAGAAAAGACAATAAGTAAAAAAAAAAAAAAAAGATGTAAGGTTAATTTCTGGTCATATTCAACGTGTGACTACCATTTGTTTATTTGCAGTTTATCAGAATATCAGCACATGGTTGGAATGAGAGAAAGGAAATAAAGGGAAGGGAAAAGTCAAATTTTCCCAGAACAACTGTTTCAGCAGATAGTACCAAACCCCACTGATATAAAAAATGGATAAAAGAAAAAAAAAAGTGTTTGTGGGCTTCCTTCATTTCTGTAGCTAAAGGGGGCTTGAAACTAATAATCATGCCAAAATACTCAACTGACATTAGAAAATCAACGAGCAGAAGAATGTAATTTTATCACAGCGGTGGTTTAATAAACAAAGAAACTACGCCCCTGTGGTAAAACTTCGACTCTGTGAAGAAGGAAATTAGCCTCCGGCAGATTAGGAAGCCTGTTTAAAGCGAGATACTACACACTGTCTGTTCATACAGTCCTTCTGGACACAGCAAAACACAACATTTCAGAGCAAACAGTGAGGAGCTACTGTGGATTACAACAGTAAATCTATACATTGTCGGATCCCTCATAATACTGTTATATCTTCTATGTGAGATAGTGAACACTGCAGTATCATTTTACTTCCCTGCAAAGGTTAGAGTAAGGCTCCATTAATTTTAGAGTCGGCTCTTCAAGGCTGTGAGGCTTTGTGATTTAAACTCCATCAAACTGAATAAATTATTATTTTATTGGCTGGCTGCTATATAAGGCTACACCAAACATATTCAATACCAAATTCTGCTAGTTGCAGCCACCAAATACTACTGGGACTGTGGGGGATAGACTAACACTCATTTATTGTATAAATATGAAGCTAAAAGAAGGCAATACCTAGTTGGACGTTATCTTTTTAAAGTTGTAGGGAGCGGGCTGTTCTAACCGTTGCATTTCAGAATTCTCTCGAGTGGTGCACGACTTTAAGCGAGTGAATAAAGTGAATGTAATTGGTTGTTTATCAACGATTGTTGTGGCGCAAGGTTCGCAAGCAAGTTTGATTGTAGCCGGTTTTTTTAAGCATCTTGCTAGCCAGGTAGCATCTTAGTGCTATTAGGTTCCCAATGGGAAATTTCATTGGGACCAAGTAGCACTAAATTGGTGACTTAGTAACAACGCTGTCAAGGAACGCTATTGTTAAAATGAGGAAGTTATGCCCCCTAAAAAGCTGTTGCGCCTCGGGGAGCAAGTTACTTACTACTCTTAACTCAAACTGGGTAAAACCATATAAAAAAAGGACTATAAAAACAGGAGTAAAAAAGTTCATTCTAGATCAGGTCATTACAGGACAGATAAAAATGCTTGGAGCTTTCACAGCTGTGGGCTCAAAAATCACGTCCGCGAGCGTCCGGCAAAGATTGAGCCCCGAACAAGGTCATCCCCTGCTTCTTATAGCTCATGAGTC